ACTAACCACTGTCTTGATCTCAAGCTGAGGCCTGGGTAACCAAAGGACTGTATATCCCGCGTGTCGATCCAAAAGGAAGAGGCCGCATTGGGAGGAAACATCACCCATCTGCTCGAATGTCTGTAGTGCTTAAAGAGGGTAAGACGCATGCTGAGATACTGCAAAAAGAGCGCAAGTACAAACTTGGAAGGATCGTTGGAGCTGGTTTGGTTAGAGAGGATGTACCTATTCGGAACCCAGGTCCGGGATGGGCGTGGTAGACATTACTCTCGCTATCCGCCGCAAGTGAGTCTATCATAGCGTGAAATGCAATGTTGCTGTCTATTTCATCGTTAACGAGACGTTTCTCCACAATGCTTTGTTCGTATGATCACGTGCCGTGCATGCACAGAGTTACCCCGAATCCCGGCATTCACTCAACGTTGTCGTATGCTTAAGTCGGCCCGTTGTAATCGAGCATAATCTACCCTATGATTCCGATGCGTTTACCATAAATAAGCTCGCGCCTGTCACTCCACGTATTTTCCACATGCGCGGAAATCTCGGGCGAGGCGGCTGCACACGCTTGGTAGAAGCGCCGATTCGGTTGCTTAGCGCATCTTCTACGGGCCGTAAGTAGCTCGTGACATACGCCCCTTTCCTTTTCACAGTAATCTCGGAGATTGTGCGTGTCTATGCGGATCGTCTAGCGACGATAGTCATCCGGTAACCCTCATGAGCGGCCAGATAAATACCAGCAGCTGGGCCAGCTCAGCGATCTCCTCAGCACTTTCTTCTGCTTCTCCTCCCCACCCCCGACTGCGCATTACTCTAAGCACCCACCAAAATGAAGGCAATATTTACCGCTGCCTCTGTTTTGGGGTTCGCTCTTGCCGCTTTCGGTGTTCCGAGTCAAGGACACATTAGTAAAAACGCTATGCGGTCGATCTATGGTGTACGAGGTGGAGGGCTCGAGATGGCGTTTGCACCTGGTCAGGCGACGTTCGCCGGAGGTGATGTGATTCGTGCGCTCGGTCTGAACCAGTTTATCGGGAATCTCTACCTCCAACCCGTCAACCTCGCACACGAGATAGGACAAGGTAGGCTACCAACACTTGTAACACCCCATTTCAGGCCTAACAATTGGTATAGGGAAACCTGGGCCTGCGTCTCTCGGGCTAAAATCTTACGCACCTTCTTTCCACATCAAAGGGGGGGCGCTATATCAGTTGAACAACGAAGTGAGTGCTCCTTTAAGTCGACCTTGAGCGCTACTCATGGTTAAAGACCTCGGTACTGTATGCGAATGTTGTGAACGTGACTGAGACTCTGGGGTCACACGCCACCCCCAAACTCCAGCTGTACTTGGAGAATCAGAGGCGTGGTGTAGGTGGCAAATGGGAGTGGCATGACACAACTCTTCATTTCAAGAACGGAGGATGGACCAATTACGGCAAGTTGATTGTTCAAGCCCTTGACTCTAGATGCTACTAATATGGTGTTTAGGATTATTCCATTCTTGCCGAGACCCCAGTGGCTCGTACGGGATCTACGTCGACTTCAAGTGCGTTTATCGGCGTGATGACGTGCGCTCTTATTAACGATATCTTTAGTGTAACGCAGGAATATCCCGATAACTGCATAGGCATCACCTTGCATAGCTTTGGTGACGAAGACAACCACTTCAACTAGGCGTTTTGGGTTAAAACTGTTGTATTGCTAGCCGGCTCGATTCTACGAAACTTGCTCTTGTCACCCACGTTTGTTGGTTTATATGTAAATAATGTATCATGGTTCCACAGTAAATGCTCATGCATAAAGTCCGTCGAGGTCTCGATTCGATCAATCTATCTACCCCGCATTTGGTCTCGGCTAAGGGTTGAAGCCGGCTCCCGTGCTCAAGTGACCAGCTGCTCCGAACGCGCCTGGCCTCACCTTCACCACGACCACTTACGCAGACCACAGCTTGCTTCTCCAATATGGCACCCAAACCAAGTCGTGCTGCTATCAACAACTTGCTTAACTTGAGCCGTCACACCTATTGCCCGTGTCATGGTGCGAACGCGGCACACCATCATCCACCTGGGAGCCTTTTGTCTGGTTTGCGCAAATACGCGACGCCGATCGACATGCCCGTTGAGAAAGAGTATGCATTCGAGGTAGGATACTTCTAGACCCGCTATAATAACCCGTTCACACGCTCTGTTAGGTTGCTGCATCGAATTTACGTTTTGGTGAAGGCGTCACAAAAGAGGTCGGTATGGACCTCAAGAATCTGGCTGCTACCAAAGTACGTGATGTTTAGTTATATATGACTACGCGCCTTGATTTGTCCAATAGGTTGGGGTGTTCACAGACTCGAATCTAATGAAACTGCTGCCAATGAAGATGGTACGTAATTAGGGTAGTGGTGCAAACTGCTTGATTGACCTCGTACAGACCATCGAGTCGTTGGACCAGCACGGCATAAACTACAAGGTGTTCGACCGTGTTGCTATTGAGCCTACAGACGCCAGCTGGAACGATGCGATTGCTTGGTCGAGGCAGCACGACTTTTCTCATTTCCTTGCGTGAGTTGTTACGCCTCACGCGTTATTCATATACAACCCTAATGACCTACTTTAGCGTGGGAGGCGGTAGCGTTATCGATACTGCCAAGGCAGCAAACTTGTAAGATTTCTTGAGCTTAATCATCTCGAGCTTGAAATCATACTGGGATGGTTATTTAGGTTTACGGTTTACAAGTCTGCACAATTGTTTGACTTCATCAACGCTCCAGTAGGCAAAGGGATGCCGATTTCTGAAAAGCTTCGTCCGCTCATTGCTGGTGAGTTTATTTTGTTGTATCGTCATACATAAAAACAAATGAATCGCTCATATTTCCTTTTAAGTCCCGACAACGGCTGGGACGGGTTCCGAAACCACTGGAACTGCTATCTTGGATATCCCATCTATGAAGTTCAAGACCGGGATCGCAAACCGTGCTCTGAAGCCAATGTTGGGAATTGTCGACACACTGAACACCGATAGCTGCCCTACCGCGGTCCATATCAGCTCTGGATTGGACGTTGTAAGTATGCTTTATGTAAATACAATATTCGCCAACTCTACTTCAAATAGTTGTTTCATGCTCTCGAAAGCTACACAGCGATTCCCTACACAGAGCGAACTCCTAGACCCGCGAATCCACTGCTTCGGCCCGCGTACCAAGGATCAAACGATGTGAGCGATGTGTTCTCAACCTGGGCCCTGCGGCAGGCGGTCAAATATCTCCCTCGAGTTGCCAAAAACAGAGATGATAAGGAAGCAAAGCGTCAAATGCTGTAAGTATTCTCGTCCCTCCTTATATGCTCGTGTGCGCCCTGATTATTTACTGGCTTGCCTTGTTAGCCTCGCTTCGTCCTTTGCCGGCATCGGGTTCGGAAACGCTGGCGTTCATCTGTGCCATGGGATGAGCTACCCGGCAAGTTCTGTTCAATGAAGCCTTTCAAATTAAAGCTTACATGCACTTAGATATCTGGATTCAACAAAACTGGGCCTATGTACAAGCACCGGGATATGCGGTTGATAAACCCATCATCCCACATGGCGTTAGGTAAGGCGACTGGTTTTTTTTTTTTTTTTTTTTTTTTTTTGCGCATGTTGACATTGACAGCCTTGTTTTCAAGTGTGGCACTGACCGGACCAGCAGGCGAGTCATGGTCTATGCGTGAATACTGAGCGTGTGCTGATCCTCGACTTAGTGTTCCAATTCACTGCGCCTTCTTCTCCATCGCGGCATCGTGAGGCCGCGGCAATCTTTGCTGGGACCGATGTGAATGACCCGAAGATTGCTCGGCTCTCTGGTATGTTTGCTTCTCCCAAGGAAGATTCAACCTATCGATGGCTGTGGTGTTCCTACAGATGACACTATTGGAGACTTTTTATTCGACCAAATCGCTCGGTTCTTGGATAACCTCGGTGTCCCGCGCGGGCTCAAGGCGGTGGGATACCAGAACAGTGACGTTGATATGTTGGTCAAGGGTACGATTCCGCAACGCCGTGTGCTGGATCTCGCTCCTGGAATCGGTGAGTTAAGATCACCCACTCAATACAACCGTCTGACTGTAGGTTCGGGGACGCAGGCGATGTCAGTGGCGCCGACGGAGCGGAACATCTCACCGCCATTATCGAGAAGTCCATGTCTTACTGACGGGAAACTCCAGAGGGAGGCAAACTTGAATGCGCGTTCATTTTGTTCAATTTTAAGGATGTACAATAGTTCCCTCAATATAACTGAAGAACTTGTAGGGATGTGATCCGTCCTAGTCGAGGAATAGGGACTTAAATCATCGAAAGACCCAGCCCGGTTGTTGCCCGTATCCCCCGACTGCGTGCGGCATATACGCCAATACCCAAGCAACTGAGAACGAACCCTACGAATCTAGGAGTGATACTCCACTCAAAATTAGGCCAAGAACATGAGGGACGTAATCCTCACCTAAAGAAAGCAACCCTGGAGATGCTCCTTTCCTCGAGTGGTGTGCGAGACGACGCAAAGATCGACCTTAGCACGGCTGGAGTGACCGGGCTACGCTTCTTCTCATCTGGTACGATGGGAGAGGTAGGGACAATAGTCGTCTGCCGAGTGGTGCTAGAGGATGCGGTCGAGGGCGCATAACGTGTGGTTGGGGGTGGTGAACGTCTGACGGGTGGGGCCGTACGAGGTTGACGTTGTTTGGTGGACGGGGGTTGAGGGGTTCTCCGGCTTGGCTGGGAGGATGCTCGTTTCGCAGACGAAGTGCGATAGGTCTGTTGGGGATAAGGGTTGCTCAAGGGGTGGATGGTAGAAGATCCTAGTGTCAAAAAAGCCACCAGAGTTTATGCAGGGTGGCTTGTGTAAGACTTGACGTACCTGAAGAAGACATGTTTAGCAAGAGTGTTGGTGCAGGTGGTTGTGGGGAAGGTGAGGAGGGGTACACACGAGGTGACTGGCGTGGCGCTAACGAACGGCCAGAGACAGCCACGAATCAGCCAAAAATTGACCACATTGAGGTTCGAACTCAAGACCTCATCCGAGCACGAGTGTGAAGGATGCGTGATAACCAACTACACCATACGGCCTTGCAAGTAGGCGTCAACCAAGCGCCCACTGGCCTACGCCATTTCATCACATGTTTAGAGCGTGCACTGCCGAGTTCGTCTTGCAGCTGACTGCCACCACTGTTAGCGAACCATGCCCAAGATTCGCACCACCCGCACGAAAAAGCCTCCTGAGGGATTCGAGGACATTGAGGGGGTACGTTACTTATTCTGTTTGCTTGCTGTCACACGCTAACCGCTTCTTTCCAGATCTTGGATGACTATGCCAAGAAGATGAGAGACGCGGAGAACGAGTCCCACGAGGGAAAGCGTAAAGCCGAGTCACTGTGGCCTATTATGCGAATCTCCCATACTCGTTCGCGCTATATCTACGAGCTGTACTACAAGCGTGAGGCGATCAGCAGAGAGTTGTATGACTGGCTGCTCAAAGAAGGCTATGCGGACGCCAAGTGAGTTTGGGACTCTTTTTAGTTGAACCTCTGGCTCACATTATTTCAGCCTGATTGCCAAGTGGAAGAAAACGGGGTATGAGAAACTGTGCTGTGTTCGTTGCATTCAGACACGGGTATTTATTATTTAGCCCATGGCCACGGACGTGAACTAACGCTAATGTATTCTAGGACATGAACTACCAGGGATCCACTTGCATTTGCCGAGTGCCAAAGGCCCAGGTCAAAGAGGGAACAGTGGTAGAGTGTGTCCATTGTGGTACGTTGGGTCTAGTGGCTTTGCCGTGTGAGTCTTGCTGACGTTCACTGTTCAGGTTGCCGTGGCTGCAGCTCAGACTCTTGAGTATCGCGTCTCCTGCCTCGGCCTGTCTGGACTGTTGCGTTGCGTTGTGCACGAATGTAGTATATATTTATCACAAAACCTGTTTTGCAAGTACCTATCTTGCTATATAAGGTCGCTGAGTGAACAGCTCGTAATAGACGCTGGAACGAAATAAGCTTCTAACTTCCACCACCAGCATGAACGCCAACTACCATGTATGGCTGTCGCCCGGAAATGATTTGCCATTGCACACACGCTCACAAGATACCTCGGTCAACTTGCTTGTCTTGGCCTCGCACCGATGTTTTGTTCCGAGTTGCACGAATGTGGCATACAAAATATGACAAAGTTACCTCCACGATATGACGATAGCCGAGGCCTAGCCAAGCGTCGAGAACCATACCAAGAAGTGCCATATCCACACCCCTTCGATCATGTGCAAGGGACATGCGAGCGGGCTCAGATGGGATGGCTTGTGTGGGTTCAATCGACGATGGCCATTCCCTGTACCGGCGGCCACAGGTAGCTGTTGGAGCTTGGTGCTGATCTTAGCGACCGGGGGAGAGTCTCCGGACAGACGCGAACGGATAGGGGTTACACCGATTAGGAAGTCTCACACTGGAAGCTGGCTAATTGCCACTGGGCGCGGGTCTTGTTCCTGAGATCAAATCCTACAGCGCTACTCGCTCAGGGGACCCCGTGGAGTATAATAAGGCCCGCTCTTGCACTTCCTCCGCAGCCGGTCTCTCGCCCTCGACCTCGACATGGGTGGATTTTCCGACGCCGTGATCGACATCGGCCATGGCCTCGCTAAACGTGCTGCTCGAGAGCAGGTATGTGCCGGTCTACCGTGTGGGCTGTATAGGCACTGAACCAGTGGACCAGGGTGGTATCCTGTCGGGAGAAAACCCAGCACATTTTGACACCGCTAACCCCATCAGAGTATGGGTTATCCAACTCAGTGAGCGCCCTGCAGTGTTGCAGGGCATATGGTACTGAAACTGCATTTTCAGTCATCATCATCTTTATGACCCAGTTGCTGGCCACCATCTTGGGCAAGATCAAGCAGCCACGGGTCATTGCAGAGGTTATTGGCGGTGTGATTCTTGGGCCGACGGTCATGGGGCGTATCCCGAGTTAGTATGGCTCTTCATCCCCAGGCGCATAGCTCACACTTGACCATGAATCAGATTTCTCCAAGTCGATCTTCCCCCCAGAATCGCTGCCATACCTGAGTTTGGTGGCAACGATCGGCTTGGTGCTTTTCATGTTCGTTATCGGTAGGCGTCTAGTTTCAGGGCTTGCCACTCGTTCCCATGATTTACGTCCCCTCTAGCACTTGAACTTGATGTCTCCGTGGTTAAACGGAATGCCAAGGCATCTATGGCTATCTCGGCGGCAGGGATGCTCCTCCCATTTGGTGTGGGAGTAGGCGTCGCGGTCCCGATCTATCATGAATTCATCGACCCGAACAAGGCATCGTTTGGTCACTTTTTGCTTTTCGTTGGTGTCGCCATATCGATCACTGCGTTCCCTGTCCTCTGTCGCATTCTCACCGAGTTGCGTCTTTTGGGTCAGTCGAGATCGAACGAATGCAAAAATGATTGACCAATACATTTCGTATCCAGACACCAACGTGGGAGTCACTGTTTTATCTGCTGGTGTGGGAAATGACGTGGTTGGTATGTAGCGATTTTGCTCATTGTAATATCATCTAACGCATAGAGTAGGCTGGGTTCTGCTCGCATTGACGGTCGCTCTTGTTAATGCTGGTAGTGGATTAACCGCACTGTGGATTCTACTTACAGCTGTGGGCTGGACGATCTTCCTTTTGCTGCCCGTCAAATGGGGATTCAGATGGCTTGCCAACCGCACCGGATGCCTGGAAAGTGGCCAACCAAATCCGCTGATGATGACAGTTACGCTTGTACTCGTGTTTGTAAGCGCGTTCTTCACAGACGTAATCGGCGTACATGCGATCTTTGGAGGATTCATCGCCGGGCTTGTCATTCCTCGTGACAACGGTTTTGCTATCTCACTTCTCGAAAAGATTGAAGATCTGGTTTCGATTCTTTTCCTCCCATTGGTACGTAAACTTGTTTCAAGTCTCCTTGCTGTTACTGACTCTTGCGTCTAGTACTTCACACTCTCCGGTCTTAAAACCAACTTGGGTCTCTTGAATGATGGCACCGCATGGGGATACACCATCGTAATCATCGTGGTTGCTTTCTTCGGGAAATTTACTGGATGCGCCGTAGTTGCACGATTCATGGGCTTCAACACGCGCGAGAGTGGGGCTATTGGTATGCTGATGAGTTGCAAGGGGTGTGTGCTACATTCAAAATAACCTCGATCTTGTGACTTAACTTGCCTTCCAGTTTGGTCGAACTGATTGTGCTAAACGTCGGCCTGTCCGCTGGGATTTTGGATACCAGAGTATTCTCCATGTTTGTTGTGATGGCCGTTGTCCTGACCTTCATCACTTCCCCCTTCACGATTCTGTGAGTTGGATGGTTCTAAAGCATCTTGAATGTCAACTGATGATGATCCCAGCATTTACCCCGAGAGTGTCCGCTCACATTCTGGAACTGGCCGCCACGCTGGTCCCGCTGAGGGCGAGACAGAGAAGCGCAGACGTGGCCATTCAGATGCTTCCAGCCCTATTTCTTTGATGACCCACTTTACGATCATCCTAAACAAGGTCGAGCACCTGCCAGCCGTTATGACGCTTACGCAGTTCTTGCAGCCTCCACTTCTTTCTGCTGCAGCGCCCAAATCCCTGCCCTCAATCGACGGTTCCGACGAAAAAGAAAAGATAGACAGCCCAACCGCCGAGCTTCCTTCTCTTCCAAACGCTACAGCACCTGCTCTGTCAGATGGAACCCCACGAGTCCACATTGATGCTCTTCGCTTGATCGAGTTGACTGAGCGGACATCGGCGGTTATGAAAGTCTCTGCGGCCGACGAACTCATGCAGCGCGATACCCTTATCAGTGTCCTGCGCACATTCGGGCACCTCAACCGAATCCCAGTCACTTCTGCGCTCTCGGTAGTCCCCCGCGACTCTTTTGCGTCAAGTGTTACTTCCCATGCTCGTGAAACCGATGCCGATTTGGTGGTTGTTCCATGGAGCTCCGCTCCATCGGCCATTGACGAGCAGCCTGCCTCTGGTATCACACCACAAAATCCATTTGACGCAATTTTTGGTGGACGATCTGCGGCTGTTGACAAGGCTACGTCTGTGTTCTACTCGCAGTTCATTCGCCGTGTTTTCGTCGAATCCCCCGCTGATGTTGCTCTCTTTATCGACCGTGGTCTGTCTCCGCTCGAGACTAGCGCTACCTATGGCCAGCATATTTTCCTTCCGTTTTTCGGCGGTCCAGACGATCGACTTGCGCTCGCGTTTGTGGTCCAGCTTTGCGTGCATCCAGCTGTGTCTGCAACCGTCATGCGCATGAAGAAGACCGAAGGATTGGAGGAAACCGACACGAGGCTAACTACGGATGTCAAGGCCGAGCAGGTTGCTGCGGCATTGGCTGCAAATAACATGACCGTACATTCGGTGAGTCGGTCTCGGCTGAGTAGCATGCAACATTCCGGCTAACGGTTTTATTAGATGGGCCCAGACACTGTGTATCCCCAGCACAATACGCAAAACCGCCTCCAGTCCGAGACCGCCGATAACTTGATTTGGACTCAAATGACATCCCCATCGAACGCTCAATCTCCTGCGATTCGTGGCGCACTTTCTCGTATCACCTTTGTTGAGGAGTCGTCTCATACTCCCCTCACTATTGTCCTCCAGCGGTCCAAGGAAGAATACGAGACCGCCTCTTCCAGCAACAAGGCGCTGTTGGTTGTTACCGGTCGTGGGCGAAGGATGGCAGCTGAGTCCCACACGGATGAACTGCGGGGCATTATTGCAGGCTTAGATAGTTCTGCGATTGGTGGAGAGGTGAGGCGAACTGTCGGTGATGTGGCTACAGCGTTTGTGGCTACTGGAGCCAAGGCAAGCTTGTTTGTGCTGCAAGCCTCTGAAAATGTCGGGGATGATTGATGATTTTGGTTTTGATTCACGTTGTGTCTATGGTGCTCGTGACGACTTTCTTCGTTTTGTTTATTGTCTTTGTAGCCTGGCCTTGGGTACTTGGAATATATCGCTTCCACATATAGTCTTGTGTGTGGGTGATTCCTCCAGCTGTAGGCATGATAAATGTGATTTTCTGATTTTGCAATTGCCATGAGGTGGC